TCGAGAGGAAGCTCGCCGGTCGCGAGGGAGGACTGAGGGAGAGCGATTCTCACCTCTGGGTTGAGGCGCGAGTGAGCTGGGAAAGGTACACAGGAAGAGGAGAGGATGAGGGAAGGTGCTGTGAGGGACTCTCACAACGAACTGAACGAAGTAGGGTTAATTTCAGAAAGAAAGAAAAACGATCGTTTTCTTAGTAGGGTAAAAACAACATCGTATTTTATATAATTTCGGTTTAGTTCAGTTCGGTTCAGTTTCAAATCTTAGAAACCGAAACTGAACCAGACCATTTCGATTTGGTTTGGTTTTTTAATTTTGGTTCGGTTTTTTTTCATTTATTTCAGTTTTGGTTCGGCTTTCAGTCCCGTTTTTTCAGTTTTCGGTTTTTTGAACTCAATCCTAGTTTCCATGCTATGTGTTCGATTGGTCGGAGTGTGTCATTTGTTAGATGCAATAAGAAATTATTTTTAGAATGCTGAAATATCTTAAAGATGTTTAGGAATAATCTTAAGATATTATTAAATTAATAATATCCTAAGAATATATTTCGAGATTTTTATTTCTTTGAACAAATCAACAAAGGAATCTGTCTTCAACCATGAAAGATTAAAGGTAGGAATCTGTTTTTAACATTTAATTCCTTTGTCATTATCTCATTGTCTTGGACAGTGAAGTTTGAGAAGTTGTAGTCTGCAGTTTAGGGCTTCTTGGTAATTGAACGGATGGTAGAATAAAATTGAATATCGGTAATTAATAAAGACATTCTCGTCAATAATGAATAAAAGTTTACATGTTAGTTCCATAACTTTACAGATTATTCCTTGCTCCACAAACCCCCTCTTACTAAGTGATTTGATGAATCGACGTGCACTATCTTTCTCGTCTTATGTAAGGGCCAAGTCAACTAAAAAAGAAAAATTAGGAATTCTAGAAATGCTATGGTGAATTCGGTTGTCGGTTACTTGATTTGGAAGAATACAATGGAAGTTTTTATGCCTCTACGGAGCACCACAACTGCTTCTATGGAAATCAAAATTTTAACTTAAATTTACAAATAAAATGATGTGTTACTAATGAAAAAAAAACATATCAATCAACATTTAAATAAGAATTCAATAATCAATAATTATGTTATATGGTTTTGTTTGGACCCAAAATTACACCATCGGCCAGTGTTGACCGTTGAGTGAGCATAGCTCCACACCGTCGGATAGGAAAGTTACGATAATTTTGTTGTTGTTAGGGGATAATATTATGATTTTTAATCATGATAATTATCTTATAATAATGAATTATCTTGACACTTTTCTTATACGAGATAAATGTGACGCAAACTATATCGAAGCAAGCAGAACAGTTCAATTTAGTTTGGGATTCTTAGCATTCAACGCAGGGATTGATCATCATGCATTATGAGAAGAGTCCTAGCATGTGGTGGCATCAGTTGGTAACCAAGATGGAGTCCAACTTGAAAGATTAATTACGTGAAGTAAGCCATTGTGATGCATGCATGGGATAATTATTAGCAAACTCAAGGCTGCCAAATGAAGTGAATATTATGTGGATAAAGCTTGATATGCCAGGGCGGAATTGGTATGCCATGACATGATTTGTTACGTGGTTTTGGCTGAAATGCGTGGTTAGCACCAAAGACATTGACTCTCATTGGATAATCATCATCTTTGCGTAATTATTATTTGTGGTGATTGATGGTGACAGAAGGATTTTGGGCTAAGTTAGTTCTATAAATACAGAGGCAGTGGCAACGGAATAGCCCCCTCTAATTCAACACAACTGCCATGTGCAAACTCTCATTCTACGCAAAACCTCTCAAACATCTCGAGATTTTTATTTTCTTTTTCCGCCAACACATCTTCAGTTTGGATAAACAGTACTATGAAGGCAACCAGTGATATCTACAGTTTGGACAAACAGCGCTGGAGCCGTCGAATCAACCGATCTATGAGCACCTTCAGTTTGGATAAACAGCACTATTTCGAGACAGACAGGTTATTTATCCAAGTCTCGTTCGACATCGATTTTCGAGTCCTTGTTAGTAGAGGTCATCTCATCAGCCTTCTAGGCAAAGTGAGGTGTTATAGGTTACTACATTTGGCACATTGAAAGCTGAATTTGATATTGAACTTCGCAAAACTAGCAGTCTTGTCTTCAGGCTTTAGAACTCGAAGGCCAAGACGTGTTCCTTTCTAAGCCGCAATCGCAAGATCAAGAAGTCAGCAGCGTGCTCAATGCGGCATCAGCACATTCCACTCCTCGGCCGAGCTCGGCCGACGAGTTGGCACGTCCCACACACAACTGAATGACATAGCTAGCTTATTAATTACTCGATCTGTGCGCCACGTAGGCTTAGTAGTTTTTAGGGTCAAGTTTATAAAATTTAATTAAAAATTTTGATATCAACCAACCCTTTAATATTTTTACGTGCAAGAGTTCACCATCACTTGCCTCATAAAAAGTAGAAGTTTTTAAAGGAGTGACTTTGATAGCCACATCTCATACAATGTTGCCATTCTAGTAGTTTAAATAAAATTAGCATCAATGCAAAAATTCGTTTAAGCAAACGATTCACCTCCATGTGCTTCAGAAAAATTAGCAATTAACTTGATAGTGTAACAGACCGATAAATCACTAAAATTTGAAGAGTTCTGTTCACCCGAACATTTTGGCCGTAGCTTTGCCCTTCTAATTTTTAATGGAAGACATCGGTCCACCATGCACAACCAGCACAAGTGGCGGCAGCCCACCATCATTGCCATGCTAAATGTCATGTAACTCGTGGCCACATGCTGAATGAATGTCCTTCAACTTTTTCTGGGTCATATGTCTTTGTCTGGGTTGGTGATTTTTCAAATCTGTACCGAAAAATGTTTAATACTACTCCGAAAGTTTAAACTATTGCCACGTTCTCCTCATTTCTATTTTCTAATCATTTGCAAAAACACGCCTTATTATATGCGGGCAAAACACAATAATTATGTAACAGGCTTTGATGGCATTATATTGACTGTTTTAGTTGAATTTAATAATTTGTTACCTGATAGTATTAATTGAATTAGTTGGAGTTTTAAGCAATATGAGGCTGAAAATCAATTATTTAATACAATATTTTATACTGTACCGGATAAGAAGTTTTTATATTGCTATCCCTTTTCGTTCATTGCTCGGACAAAATTAAAAAAAAAATTAAAGGAAGAAAAAAAAAAGAAAACCCAGGTCGTGGTCTTCCTTTCTACATCATCTTTCCCACCAGTAAACCCCATTGATGAACCTTCCAATCTAGTAAACCCCACCTCTTACTGAAGAACACTACAATCCAAGCTCCAAATCCGAAACCTTTTTAATTTCCAGGAAACATGGATCCCGATTGAGTGAAATCCACTCTTCAAAATGTAGCATTCGGATGCACATGAAAAAAAACATAAAATTTGCATGGAGATTGGTGTCTGCATTAAAAATATCCACATTCTTGGTCATGGATAAAACCCAGAAATTCCAAACGGCAGAAAAATTAAAAATTAAGCCACGAAGAAAGACGAATAAAAACTTCAGCTGGAGAAGAAGAAGATTGAACATAGCAGAAGCAGATTTGCCAGAGCAAGTCCATCGGTGTCAACTCAGATTCGCTAAGAGCAGTTTCACCCCTAAAGGGCCTCTAGACGATAGGCAATTCAATCCCCTCAAGTGAATACTACCCTTCATATATTAAAATTTTAAAATAATAAAAATAATTTATTTTTAATTTTGAATAGGATTTTTAACCAATCTCATCACACCATATATTATTAAAATACAATTTTGTAGATAGATTTTTAAGTTTATTTGCAAGCATAAGTATGTGAAAACTTTGAGAGAAAGATTAGTTGAAAGCATTTGAAAAGAGTACTGCTAGGAAGACCAAATTTTTTAAACCAAATAGCAAACTAAATGATGTGTCACTAATAAAAAACAAGCACGTTAATTGACGCTTAATTAATAATCCAATCATCTACAACCACATCATTTAATTTACAAATTTGGTTTAAAAAATTTGGTCTCACTAGCATTACTCATTTGAAAATATTCCAATGTAGTGTAAGGTTGACGATAATGGTTAGGTATTTATATATATTTTTAATTTTTTAATAATTTTTATTAGCTTAATTACTCTGGACCATTGGACTACAAAAAATTTGAAATCCAACAACTCAAATTTTGACACGTGGCCAACAGTAACATTTTTTCATTTTTTTTAATCCGAAAAACTTGGACCATTGATTAGAAATCAAACAGTACCCAGACTGTGCCGCATCATCTAGCCATTGGGGTTAGATTTCAAATTTTTTTTACCGTTGGAAATTCAACAGCCCAAAAAAATAGCCGTTGGATCCAACTCCCTAGAATGATCCACGTTGCCCCCTATCCAGAATCCATTAGTGCCCCTTCTGAGTGCACCCTTGTCGGAAATGCAAGCCCCCACGCATGCGTGTTTTCCACGCGCCCGGCACAAAAAAAAAAAAAAAAAAAAAAAAAAAAAAACCCTTCACATGGCTGACGTCAACCTTGCGTCACATGGTCAACCAATTATCCACTCCAGACTATAGTACTAAATGGACTTGGATCCTCTCCTGAGCTAATGGAGAGGATCCTCCTTATCAATCATCATTGGCCGTTGGATTTTTATCCAACGGCTACAAACAGGGGGTCCCTTTAAAGTTATAATGATTGTAGCCGTTGGATAAAAATCCAACAGTCAAGGATGATTGATGAGGAGGATCCTTTCCATTAGCTTAGGAGAGGATTCAAATCCGTATTAAATGACTATGTTCAACTAATTAAATAATATTTTTTATTTTTTATTTTTTTTAAAATAGTGACAACTGGTGGCAAGTTAATACGATTTAGTTTATAAGCCTTCTTATCATTTGCGGTCACACCTAAGACATATCCCTATATAAACTGGTTGTTTAATCCGAGCTCTCTCACATTCCAACCTTCTTATTTCTTGAGTAAATTAAACTAGTTGCCATATTACCATCACCATGGTCACTGAAAATAGAAGGCTAGTCGAGGAGGTGTCTGGTTGGCTAAGAGTCTTTGACGATGGTTCAGTCGACCGTAGGTGGACTGGACCTCCTGAGGTCCAGTTCATGGTGGAGCCTGTCGCGCCCCATGATGAATTTGTCGACGGAGTTTCCACAAAAGATGTTGTGGCCGACAAATCATCTGGACTTCGCGTCCGACTATATTTACCGAAGCGAAAGCCGGAGGATGACGACACCAAGCTACCAATAATCCTCCATTTCCACGGTGGTGGCTTTTGCATGAGTCAAGCTGATTGGTACATGTACTACCACATATACACTAAACTATCTCGCTCCACGAATGCCATTGTAGCGTCTGTCTATCAGAGGCTCTCACCGGAGCACCGTCTCCCGGCTGCCATTGATGATGGCTATTCCGCTCTCCTTTGGCTCCGGTCATTGGCTCGAGGCGAGCAAAAGGAGCCACTCCTCAGCCATGCAGACTTTAACCGTGTGTTCCTTATTGGGGATAGCACCGGAGGGAACATAGTCCACCACTTGGCGGCTCAAGCGGGCACTGCGGATCTGAGTCCCTTAAGAATTGCCGGCGGGATTTTAATCCACCCCGGTTTCGTACGAGTGGAGCGGAGCAAGTCGGAGTTGGAGCAACCTCAGTCACCTTTCCTTACCCTAGATATGGTGGACAAGTTCTTAGGGTTAGCCCTTCCAGTGGGGTCCACCAAGAACCATCCCATAACTTGTCCGATGGGTCCCGAGGCCGCACCGTTGGATATTCTGAAGCTACCGCCGTTCCTTCTCTGCGTTGCTTCCAAGGACTTGATGGTAGACACGGAAATGGAGTACTTTGAGGCCATGAAGAAGGCCGACAAGGATGTGGAGCTTCTAATCAACGAGGGGGTGAGTCATAGCTTTTATCTGAACAAGATTGCCGTCGACACGGACCCGGACACAGCCGCAGAAACTGAGCGTCTGATTGCAGGGATCAAACAGTTTATCAAGAACCACTACGATTGAAGGACTTTGACCCTTTTGATTGTTTCAGACTGCGAATATCTTTAGTAAAATTAGCCATATATATGTTCATGATTCTCACTTTTGTGTTTGAATGGACTTTTACCTATATTTATCAAATGATGTTTTCATAAAGCATTTTATGTTGTAAAATATTATTTTATCTCCGGGTTAGTATACGTAATATGTTACTAGTTAAGACTTTTTCTATGTAAATTCCAAGAATACTATATTGAGATGAAAAATGATGCTCTAATTTCTCCTCTCATTATCTTTCTCATCTCTCTCTATTCTATCTTTCTCCATATTTTATTTTCAACACATTATTAGATGCCCCTATACAATTTTAGATTTTCTTTTGTGTCAAGTTTCATTATCTATTATATTTTCCGAGGCCCCCCACAATATTCACGCGACCGTGATCGGAGGGTTTGACATTGGGTTTGGTAGGTAATCGGGTGTTGTCCGGTTTTGGGTCGGATTCGATGAAACCGTGCCACTCTTCAGCGAGGACGAAGGTGATGAGGAGTTGAGGGTTTTCTGAAGATAGTAGCTTGATGATGTTAGTTGCAGGGTAAGTCGACCAGGAAAGAAGAACTGAGGGTAAAAAGGGCAAGTGCGAACCCAGATGTCAAAAAGGATAATCGGTCAGTGGCATAAATGTAATAACGCAAATTTAGAGGGCAAAATCGAAATACACTCACTGTAATTATAAACAATATATGTGAACAATATTTTAAATGGGTCTTAGTGTAAATTAAATTTTAAATTTATACCAATTTTCATATCTATATCTACGGATCGCTATCACAGCTATCATATGCTTAAAATTATATCATGGCTTTGACTTGCTGTGACAAACGTGGGGTTATTGTAAGTCCCCACTCCCCCAAACAACTCCCGAAGATACACAAATGTAGGGTTGTTGTAAGTCCCTCCCTCCCCCAAACAGACTACTACTTGTGCTTAATTAATATTCCAACCCAATTAGCTTACGGAGACTAATATGTATGCCGGGATCACAAAGTTATTTAACCCTTTTATTTACCTGAATGAATCTATATCGTTTTATAACTCTGTGTGTATCTATCATTTAACAGTGCCAAGGCGAGTCAGTTGGAAGCCAAAACATGGACAATGGCTTTGTCTCGTCAAAGAGCTGCCCAGTTTGATGCGGTGTAGAATTTGTAATACTGCTGACCACGAGACTCAGGACTGCCAGATAATAATGGAATGTTTTTGTTTTCTTCCCCTCGGATCATCCTTTTATTCACCTTGTGTTATCCAGTCATTGATGTGTTCATCCTTGTGTTAAAAGGGGTTGGGTTTCGTGTGCCCCCGTTATATTTTTGTTTTGTGTTTTTCAGGTATTAGTAAAATACTGAAATTAATGGAAGGGAAAGGCGGGCATTGAACTCACTGTGACATTTTCGTGTCATTTATAGGAAACTTGGGGAAATGTTATATTAATATTTGTGCAATAGAAATGTTGCTCTTTCATGACCAATAGGTCACAGGTTCAAGTCTGGAAACAACATTTTTGCAAAGCAAGGGTAAGACTGTGTACAATAGACGTTCCTACTTTGACCCTCGCAAAGCGAAAAGCCTTATTAACTTAAGGTTGGCTTTTTTTTAGTAAAATACCCAAATTATTGGAGGGGAAGGGTGGATGTTCAACTCATAATTGGTCCCAATTGGAGAGCTAGAAATCCTTCTCAGGATGGGCCTTTAAAGACATATAAAAGAAATTAGATCAAATATAACAAATAATTAATTGGATAAAGTTTTAAGCTTTTTGTTTTTATTGGCATGGAAAACTTATGAAATAAGAGTGATGGAGCTTCAAAACTTTTATGAAAAGTACTGATCGTTATATCATAAAACAGAACTTTCTTACGAGCTTTAATAAATAAATTAAAAAAAAAAAAAAAAAAAAGCAAGATTCGAACAAAAAGTAAGGTCATAACTTTAAACTATTACCATGAGATATTAATTTCAACATAATTAATTGAATTTTACTTTAACTTGTATAGAACTTGTCTTATACGGACCTGATCTATATATGGTGAAACAAAAAGCTAATTATAAGGTTTTGTTTAAAAAGCAAAACAAAAGTTGTTGACAACAACTTTCAAATCCATGGGATGGTGGAACTGTCAAAATGAATTGACCAATGTAATACAAGCTCTATATTGCCAAACTTAGCAGACAATAAATATATATTAGTAAAATTTCAGGATAGACTTAGGCCTCACCTGGCCTCCATGTGGCTCCCCCCTTGCTTGGTCCACTAATGTTTTCGCGTCATTCATAGGAGACGAGGGGTTGAAGTAGCAGATTGACTTTGTGTGTTGAAGTACAATCCCCCATCAATTTGGTACGTCATGTGATAGTTACTTAAAACATGTTGACTGTTATTACTTGCTTGACATTAACGCGCGAGTTTGTGCAGGCTTTCATGATCCTGCCCTTGTGTACATGATATGTGGTATTTGTTCAAGATAGGTTAGTGGGGCTGCCCGTACAGGCACTATGTCCCAAGGAACGCAGTAGTTGGCCCTGGTGGTAGACTAGTTTGTAGGTGTTGTGAGAAAGAGGGTGGCCACTCGGACCCTGATGACGACGAATGGATCGGAGTTGCTCTTGTGAAAGATTGTGGGACTTGTGGTGCTGTTGGCAAGCACAGGACTGAAAACTGCCCCAAAGGGAACAGGGAGAATCCACCGGAAGACTGCCCCAAGAAAGAAGAAACAAACTTCAGTCCCAAGAAAGAAGACTGCCCCATGAAGCATGGAACAGAGATGGTTGGAACTGGCCAAGTAGGAGGTTTATATACATGGATTTATCCCAACTTTTTTTTTTTTTTTTTTTTTTTTTTTTTGTCAAATAATAGATTTTGTTAGATTAGAATCATTATATGTTAAATTAGTTGACGAGGTTTAAACTCACGCCATCATGCAAGGACTCAACTTCTTTCCACTACTATGATAAATGACCACCTTCAAATTTAATTCCTAACTTCCCAATATACACGCCCTTTTGCTTCGTACTGGCATAACTTCGAGAGTCCTTCCTGGTCCCTATTATCACAAACTTCCAGTCCTGGAACATAAACAATCACACAATCGAATTGTGAAGACCTTACATTTTTTTTTTTTTTTTTGAGTATGTTTACACTAAGGTGAGGGGAAAACTCAGCTAAGTCATACAATGAACAACCTAATTTGATATCGAATTCACCTACATGATCACCAGAGAGAAATACCCAATCCTTGTTCATAAATCTGCAAGATAAGAAAACATAACTATATGCTAATCTTAGAACCAAATTATGTGATCCATTGAAAAAAAAAACAGAAACAATGAAAAGAGTGTGGGGATCCAACAACTGCATCGAATCAGAGAAAGCAAACCTGTAATTCTCTTCAAATTTATGAGCGAGCAATGGCTTTTTTATCATCTTCTCTTCCTGCAAAACAGTTTCAGTTTTTTCTTTCCAATTTCTCACTTTGTGTTCTTCTATATGTCTCTCATCCAGCAAAACTGCTTCTTTTTGCACGATTAGGGCGTTTCTTTTCCTCCTCAACCCCACTCTACACGTTCACGTTTATATCTCCTTGTGCCTTTTCCGTGTATTGGTTTTAAATTCTGTTTTCTTTTTTCTTTATTTATTTATTTTGTTTTCCAATACAGTTTTTTGTTGAGTTATGATTTTTTACCAGTTTGTCCCTGTTATTTTGTTTCTATTATTTTCAGCTAGTTGTAGGATTTTTTGTTTGAGGGGCTTTATAGTCCAACTATTTTTGGTGAAGCCTTGAGACACCAAACTCTCCTTCTAGATTTCTAATATTAAAGATTATTTTCAGCTAGTTGTAGGATTTTTTGTTTGAGGGGCTTTATAGTCCAACTATTTTTGGTGAAGCCTTGAGACACCAAACTCTCCTTCTAGATTTCTAATATTAAAGATATTAGATTTGAAGCTACTATATTCAATTCTCGGTCAGTTTAAGTCACATTACTTGCATGTGACATCCATTGAAGAGTAGATTGGTAATTTGGCATATATAAATAGTGCATAGAGTTAACTATGGAGGGTAAATTAGATATTAGATTTGCAACTTATATGAAATGTTAAGGGCTTATAAGTGAGAAAAAAATGGTATTGCATTCTAAAGTGTGTCAAGCGACTTAAATTGATAAAAAAATTAGATAAAATAACTTTGAATATAATAGTATGGATGAAATTAGCAAGTTTAAATTAATTTAAGGATTTATTTTACCGAAAAAATAATTCAAGGATCTAATTTTTATTGAAATAATAATTCAAAAACTAAATTGACAAAAATTGATCTTATATTATAGGGTTTAGGGCACGATTCACGTAACCTATCCATCCAAAAAGGTCCGGAGAGCATCCCGTTGGCTATTTCCAGACTTCCAGACTCTTACGTAATGGCCAAACCCTTTCCCTCAACCTCTCCCTTACCATCGCAATCTCCTTCTCTCTCCCTCTAAGCTCCAGCTATGGGCGAACCATCCGTCGCATACCCACCACCATGTAACGTATTCCAGATTCAGGATCCAGAATTCAGCCAGAGCCAGGATCAGGAGCAGATCCCGCCTCCACCGAATGAAGACGAGCTGACGATTCCGGGCAGACTCCATTGGCACTGGTTCGACGAAGAAGAAGAGAAGCTAATGGATGGCGAAGATCTGCCCTGGGTGTATTACGTCCTCGAGGATAGCTATGAAGCCCAAATGGCTGGTATGGTATTTATGATGCCTTCCATTTTTTATTTCCAATTTGCGATGGGTTTTGTGATTGACTTTGTGGGCTAAATTTTGTATGTATGTTTGTTTGTTTAACAGCTAGGGAGAAGACGAGTAAGGTAATGGCGCAAAGACTGGCACGAAGATCTCCTGAAGATAAAGAAAACTGGGATTATTGTAAGCGCCCCCTCCCCAAACAGACTACCACTTGTACTGATTTATTATGCTTCCTTTCTTGCTTTTCGATTCGATTTTAGAGGATTTTAGAGGCTGGATTTTGATGGAAT